ACCTATTAGCAATTTCTTCTTTCTGCTTGAATTCCTGTACTTAATGCTGCTTAGGAGCACCGTGACTTGTCATAGCTTTCTCCAGAGAATGCTTCCTCAATTGCCTAATCCTTCTAAAATTCCTGGGGACCTTTTTTCCCCCATATATATATTTTTATTGTAGAAATACTATACAGAGGTGTTACAGTTACATGAGTAGGATAATGAGCACATTTCCTATCAAGCATTGTTACCTCCTCCTTTCTTTTTCCCCTACCATCCCTTCCCTCCCCATCTCCTCAAATACTCCCTCTCCCCTGCCCTGCCTGAAATTGTAAAGTTCATTTTCTTTTCTTTTCTCTTTTTGGTCCAGTCGTGGGGCCTGAACTCTGGACCTGGGCGCTGTCCCTCAGCTCTTCAGCTCAAGGCTAGCGCTCTACTACTTGAGCCACAGAGCCACTTGCAACTTTTTTTTCTTTTTGCTTATGTGGTGCTGAGGAATCGAACCCAGGGCCTCAGGCATGCAAAGCAAGCACTCTACCACTGAGTCACCTTCCCAGCTCCATAAAGTTCATTTTCAATATAGTGTCTTGTATATCTCATTGTTACAATGGGTCAACCTGTATCCTTATTTAAGTATTTTGTTATATCCCTTCCCCTCCCCAAATTATAAAAATGTATATACAAGACACAGGACACCAGAATCAGATGCAGTGAAAACAGAGGTTATACCAAAAGAAAAGAAAGAAAAGAATCACATAGTGCATTATAAGTACATTAAAACAATATCAAGAAAGACAAAACCACTTGTGTCCCTGTCTTGGAGTTCATTTTGCTTAACATCATCTTATATGGTCATATGTACATAGCGTTTGACCTTTTTGGCTTGTCCTAGATATGTACTAGTTATTGCAAATAAGGGAAACCATGGGATCTATTCCTGGGGACTTTTTAAAAAGCTACTTAGCTCTTATTCTGGGAACTTGTCTGGAAGGGAAAGAAGAAAAACAGAGGTGGAAAGGAATATTTCAAAGGAAGAAAAATAAGCTTATTATTGTGCATATTCATTCCTCTCTCAATAAAAGAGGACTCTAAATTGTCTTGCTTTCACATTGTATTTCTAATCTAACATTCTGTTTCTAATCTAAGATGCTTAAAGCTCTTGCCTCATTTAGGGAGCCATTAGAGTTGCTATACACTGAGTTGGGTACACTGAGTCCACATGTTGGCTAGGTGCTATGGAGAGCCGGGTTGCCACCAAGTCATTCAGGTGTCTGGAATTAGGGCTGGGCACCCACTATGATTTACAATGAGAGACAGAAGAAGGACAAGTACCAGTCAAAAGCATTAATATAATATATTATATTATATAATCTATAATAATTATACACATTGATGACCAAGTTCCCTGCCTCCTAAAACTACAAGTTCAAGGTCAGGAGGAAACTCCACAAGAAAAAGGTTATATTGAGAACAAGCAAAATGCATCCATAATTATTGTTGTGTATCTACAATTTACTTTTAGAACCAAAGGAAGGCTGACACCCAGAGGAGACAGGGGAATTAGGAGCTGGGACAGGTTACTTTCTTCTTCTGTGAAAAATACAGGTAAAACTCTCACAATGTTAATGTTTTTGATTGTCTGGCTTCTGTATAGCTCTCCAGTCCTATTTCTGAGTGTTTTCCCTTGTAACTTTGATTAAATGCTTGTCTTTCTGTGAGTGTATCTCTCTGCTCTCACCGCCAATCATGTGCTTCCTGTGATAACTGTTTTCACAAGATTAAACCTAGTTTAGCTCTTGCAGTGGCAATGCAAATCTCTCCTGTCCCTATTAGCAGAAATACTCCACTGCTTCTAAACTGGGCCAAGACATTCTTTGCATCTTTGTTGTTGGTGTAGGATTGAAACTTCCAGCTTTGTATAATGGTTATTACATGCCTGTCTTATTCTTTTGTACTAAAATGAAAGCCCTAAGCACAAACTCTATAAAGGCTTCAGCTGTCAGACTTACATGTAAAATCTTCATCTAGTACTTCATACAATGGCCTCAATAAATATTGAGACAGTTGAATGTCATGTCAATCTATGATTTCTATACCGTAGTAGCCAAGGTAATGTTAGGACTGGTATTGGTTTGAATGGGGGCTTATGAAATCAAGCTTGCTTTTGGACTGAAAATGGAAAGCAGATCTGAGCTGTCAAGATAATCCTTAGATTCCTGGATGTCATAATGAGATGAATGGTGATGCCATTACTAAGAAAGAACCAGGAGCTAACATGGGGTGGAGTAGAGGAGGTTCAACGTGGAACGTGCTGTGTCTGAAGTTTCTTTCAAACATGGGTATTAAAAAGATGTTCCTAGGGCTGGGAAGGTGGCTCAGTGGTAGAGCGCTTGCCTTGGATGCTCGAGGCCCTGGGTTCGATTCCTCAGCACTACATAAGCAAAAAGAAAAAAACCGGAAGTGGCGCTGTGGCTCAAGTGGTAGAGTGCTAGCCTTGAGCTGAAGAGCTGAGGGACAGCGCCCAGGCCTGGAGTTCAGGCCCCATGACCGGACCCACCCCACAAAAAAAAAGATGTTCCTAGCTGGGTGCCGGGGTTCACTTCTAAAATCCTAGCTACACAGGAGGTTGAAATCTGAGAATTGCAGTTCAAAGCCAGCCAGGGCAGGAAAGTCTATAAGACTCTTATCTCCAATAAACTACAAAAAAAAATTGGAAGTGGAGCTGTGGTTTAGGTGGTGGAGCACTAGCCTTGAGTAAAAATGGTCAGAGAGAGCACCTATGCCCTGAGTTCAAGCCCCAGGACAGACAGACAGACAGACAGACAGACAGACAGACAGACAGACACACACACACACACACACACACACACACACAATGGCTCTTGTAAGAGTTACTCATACAGCATTTGAAGGCTCACATACTAAAGAAAGTTGGGGAATCATCCAAAGGAAGAATTTTCTCACCATGACACAGGCAAAGCCATTAGAAAGTATCTTACCTAGTAAATAGAAAGTAAAATGGAGTCATGCATTGTATTACACAGAAAGATCCTTTTACTTCCTATTGATTTTTTTCTGTTTTCTCTCTTCACTGTTCTGTTATGTCGAATTAAAATTCTATTTGAGAGAATTTATACCACATAGAGTCTTGCACCTAATAACAGTTGATAGCATGCTATCAGGCACTTTTAACATTGACCAGCAGAAGAGTTTTCAGCTCATCTCTCATTTGCTAATCTTTTGAAATGTGTCTCATAGCTGCCTCACACTCTGCCTTAAAAACCATATATATGAATCAAAAGTGCTCCCAAATAGAATTTTTGTCCCAAGGAGCAAAGGGCTGACTTTGAACCTCCATCCTCAGATCTCAGCTTTCTAAGTAGTCAAGATTACAGGCAGGAGCCACCAACATCCGGCTGGGGTAATATAATACTTTAAAGTGTTACAGTCAAAATAAGCCTTTAAAATATTTTAATATTCAAGTTTCTTCTAATTCAGCCAGCACTCTAACACTGCCAAACTTAATTCAATAAAAAATAGTCATTGTATACACTAGCATCTTTATCCTGAGGAGAGTTGAATTCATTGTAACTGATTAACTTCAGAAAGTTACCTTCAGAAAGTTCTTATATTCATCCTGCAATTTCTCCATACCCTTTTCCCACCAAAAGGAAGTTTAACGTGCTCAGCTGGTACTCAAGTTATGGTTGCACAGTTTGCTTGAAAGCTGAATCATTTTTTTTAAAACAACCCTGACAAATGCATACTTCAGTTACAAGGGACAGCATCACAAATACAAAACTATGTGAGTTTGGAGCTCACTTTGTTGATTTAGTACAGCCAAGTTTGGAACCAATTTTACTAATGTCCGGAAGGGTGACAAATTGTGCATGATCTTCATGAAGACAAGTGGAAGCAAATGGCATATCAGATTCTTTCTTCTTGTCTACACATATCACACTGACATACAGACGCTAGGAGAAGAAAAATCTCCCACGTTCCTTTGATCTTTGGTTTGGAGGGTGTTGCGGATTCATGATTCAAGCTCTACTTCCTTCTTGTCCAAACACATACTTATGAAAACATACAATAGAAATAAGAAGACAAAGACAGGGATGGGTGTGGTAGCTCTCTCCTTTAACCACTAGCGATTTGGGAGGCAGAAGTAGGAATATAATGACTTTGAGGTTGTTCAGGCAGTTAGTGAGACCCTGTCTCAAAAATGAAGTCAAATAAAGGGTTGGGATTATAGTGTAAGTGGTGGAGCAGTTACCTATAAACTGTGAGGCCCTAGGTCCTGGGTTTAATTTCCAGTACTATTAAAAAAATGATGATGAAGCAGAGCTGTGGCTCAAGTAGTAGAGCAATAGCCTTGAACAAAAAACTCAGTGACAGTGCTCAGGCCCTGAGTTCAAGCCCTGGGACAGGCACAAATAAAATAAAAAATAAATATTTTGTCAGCACTGGTGGCTCATGCCTGAAATCCTATCTACTCAGGAAACAGATCTGAGGATTGCAGTTCAAAGCCAGCCCAGGCAGAAAAGTCCGTGAGATACTTATTTTCAATTAACTACCAGAAAATCAGAAGTAGGGTTGTGGTTCAGGAGGTAGAGTGCTAGCCTTGAGCACAAAAGCACAGGGACAGAACCAAGACCCTGAGTTCAAGCCCTGCAACTGCAAAAACAAAACAAAACAACGAAGACATTTTCTAAAACAAAATAAACATTAGAGTGGACCTGACAGAAAACACTCTGTGTAAGAGGACAGAAACCATAGGATGCCTCGAAGTCTAGGATTGAAAACTGGTAAAAAAAAAAAAAAAGGCCTGGAGCATAAAAGATCCAAAATATCCTTCAAGTAATACAGGCCTTGATCTGGGCAAATAATGCAAATACTATCACCCTTAAATCACAATCAGAGAACTTAAATGAGTTCTTCTTCAACCTTAGCTACTGCCCTGGCAAAATGATTTTGAGTCTTTAGATAATCTTTGGACTTTGGGACTCAAGGTTGATTACCTGGCCTTTCCTGTGATTTCCATGCACTGTTGAAGGTCAATGAATTCCATTAGTTGTTTTTGTAACATCACGTCTTTGCCCTCGATTTGAGTAATGAATTTGTGCTGTAAAAGATCTGACACTGTTGGACGCTTCTCATAATCCTTAATCAAGCACCTGCACTGGCCAAGAAAAGAAAATAAAAAAGGAAGAAAAGAAATCCAATTATGAAATAAGTCTGAGTTTGGGAGCTGTTACTCATATTCCCAAAACAAACAAGCAAATATAAATTGCTCTCAGAGAGTGATGCGGAAGCACATCTTAAAAAACAGAAAAGCGCAGTGGGATGGATGAATGTTTGGGAAAGTGTGCAAGTGATGAGGCCATGCTGGTACCAACTGTTGACTCAATTACCACTTTCTTTGTCTCCCAGCAAGCATCACTGCAGAGTGATAACTCACCTCTGTCTCCACTACAGAGCCTCTTTTCCAGCTAAAGATCAATGAAAAGGAAGCCATCATAGTCTTAGTGTTTATCTAAAACATACACAGACTTCAGTTTCCTCTCCCAGTGCTTTTACTTCTCAATACAACCATTTCTTCCTAGTGATAAGATGCAGATCCACAAGAAAGCTCAGCTGTTGAGCTTTCTTTCACACCACTTCTGCAGGTGTGTTTCAAGGCGGTTCAGTAGATAGATGAATGGCGCTCACACCTGTCATTAGATTCAACCAGAGAATATTCACAAGAAAAGACAAGGCTAGTGAATTGCCTGCCAGGAAATCACAGGAGGTGAGTTTGAACAAACAATGACAGATGTCTTCAAATATTTGAAAGAGAGATTTGGCTTGCTCTCAGTGAATACAAAGGGGAAAAAACCCACACAAGAAAAACCAAACAACCCCCACCACAGGTCTGGTGGGGTCAAAAGGAAAGCAGTTCAGCTCAGTGTAAAGAACTTTTTGAGTGAGGATTTCCAAGATAGAGTCAACTGTATGAGGACGCATGGTTATTTGTTTGTTTTTATACCAGTACTGAGGCTTGAATTCAGGGCCTCAAGTCTAGGCTTATTCTTTTCCTCTACCATTTGAGTCATATTTCAACTTCTGGCTTTTTGGTAGTTAACTGAAAGTACGAGTCTCTCTGATTTGTCTACCCAGGCTGACTTATAATCACAATCCTCAAATCTCAGACTAATCTCAGAATATAAGCATGGGCACCCAACTTGAAGCATGACTATTTTTATGTGGTATGTAGTGATAGAATGTCAGTCAGTTCATATATTCCTAAAGGATATGAATTTAAAGCATATAACTTTCCAGAAGTTCTATAGTAACTTCTGTATTTCAGACTCAAATACAGAGATTCCATAATTATGAAGAAACTCCATAATTATGAAGAAATAAGAGGGGAAAAAGCATGGCATACCTATAATTATTGGAAGTGGAGGACCATAGTTTAAGGCCATCCTGGGCTAAGTTACTACTGGACCCTATTTGAAAAACAAACTAAAACCAAAAGGACTGGAAGCATGGCTCAAGTGGTAGAACTGTTTGCTTCACACCATAAGGCTTTGAATTCAATCCCTAGTACTAAAAAAACCCCACAAAACAAAAATAGGAAAAAGAGAAAAAAAGCACCTTGGTTTTGCCATCAGCAGTGTATTGATAATCTGCATTGTTGATCTTCCTGCGATGATAATTTGGCAATTTATGTCACTGGGCTTAACAAAAACAACAAATTCCTAAGGATGCTAATATATGCTAAGAAATAAGAATGATGATACCCCAAAACGTGAATAATGATCCTATGGTTTCATTTACGTTAACAGAATGCAACAGTTTCTGACACATGTAACACTCCTATTTCCCCAGAGGAGACTCATATTCAAGTAAAACATCGCCCAACAGCCCACGTGTACCGGGTACTCTGTTAGATACCAGGTGACAGTGATGAGGAAAGAGCATCCAGGGCTCCAAAGTTGTGCACTGCCTAATTGGAGAGAACATGTCAAAGTAGGTAAGCTAAGTGAGACTGGCTACGCCCCTAATAGAAGAGCAGAACAAAGGCACACGGCATAGAATGCTAACTAGGGCACTGAGAAACAGGTAGGAGAGATTAAATACCAACGGGATCTATACGAAGAGATCTTGTGCACCTAAGGCAAACATCGTGAGTTATGGGGATTCCTTTCAAATCTCCAGCGATGGTCTCAAGAGACTCAAGAAATGGGATGGCAGTATGTTAAATACAATAATGCATAGTACATGCATAGTGACAGCTTTATAGAAGAGTTTATCGATCCATCTTGAATTCTCATGAACTTAAATCTATGTCTCTTGCCTTTAGAAGAATTAAGCAGATACTCTTGATAAGAAGTACCAATAGCAATGTTAAGTGGGTGTAGTTGTGTGTTTCCTCTGCTTTCTTGTCTCTTTCTGCCTTTTCTAAGCAGGGTCCCCAAATCTGAATACCCATTTCTTCCCATCGACAATCAGTGGCATCCTGACTTTATTCTTCGAAGGTGAAAACACAACCAGAAATTGTGAAAAAATGAACATTAAAAAAAATAAATGGCAGGCTCTCAGTTTTCAGTCAATTGTGTGCAGGCAGTTGCACTGGTGTTAACTCTTCATGAAATTAAAACTGTTGCCCAGATTTCAAATGCATCAGCTTTTTATAAATAAGACTTCTGATTCACTGTTTGTAGTGAAATTTCTCCAGCTGCACTTAGAATTAACAATGCAGATAAACAAAAGGGCTAAATGACTGACTAGGTGGTAGGTGAACAGGTGGGAGATGCTCAGGGCCTAGGCACACAGGCAGGTGAACAGAAATTCCTATCCAGAAGATAAAGTGTCCACAGAGCAGGAGATACGGGAATAAAGTTGACCTTGAGGTCGCTGTCCTATCAATGATGAATACACTGAATATTTAGAAGATACTAATAAGGACTTGTTTTGAAAAACAGTGATGGTAACCTCTGGAACTACTTAGCAGATAAGAAGAACTGGCTAGGAGGGAATTATGAAGCCCAGTGACATGTTAAGAGGCACATTTCCCCATTAGGGTAAGCTTGCAACTTGGTTGTTACTCACTTGCTAATGAAGTCATTGAATTCTGCTGACCATAGCTGGGGCTGCCTTAGTTTGGGTGGTGGGTTCCTAGAAAAAAAATAAGAATCAGGGTTGGATAGAGCACATTGGCAGGGCAATGCAGTCTGAGAAGCATAACTAGATGGGTTCCATGAATACTGCAATCACAGGTTCTGCCAGTATAAGGAGACTCCCATCCTTCTCCAGTTCAAAGAAAGATAATTAGCCATGAATCATTCTATTCTTTTTTTTTTTAACTTGGTCATGGGACTCTGGGCCTGGGCACTGTCTCTCAGCTCTTCAGCTCAAGGTGAGCGCTTTACCACTTGAGCCACAGCACCACTTCTGGTTTCTGGTGGGTAACTGGAGATAAGAGTCTCATGGACTTTCCTGCCCAGGCTGGCTTTGAACTGAGATCCTCAGATCTCAGCCTCCTGAGTAGCTAGGATTACTGGCATGATCCACCATCTCCCACCAATCATTCTTATTCTTAATATAAAGTGACAACTTCCTTGTTTCTCTGAAAACACTTGATAGATGACTCCATTTTTCCAACGATTAATTTTGTTTAGATTCTTATAAACTTTATTTCAGTGCCCCAAATAGGCCAATAAAAATATACCAATATAAAGGCTGAGCAAGATGATAGTGTGTCATTGTGTGTGTGTGTGTGTGTGTGTGTGTGTGTGCGTTTGTGTCCCAGTACCAATGCTTGAACTCAAGGCCTGGGCTCTGTCCCTCAGCTTCTCACTCAAGACTGGTGCCCTACCACTTAAGCCACAGCTCCACTTCCAGTTTTTGGGGGATAATTGGAGATGAAAATTTCATGGATTTTCTTGCCTGGGCTGGCTTCAAACCAGGATTTCAGATCTCAGCCTTCTTGAGTAGCTAGGGTTAAGACACGAGTCAACTAGTGCCCAGCTATATTACTACTCACTCATTTTATCAACTAAAAAAGTATAGATGATGTAATTTTTTTTCTTTTAAAGAATATTGCTTTTACCTGAGAGTCCCAAAGTAAGATACAATTGGTAGGCTAGAACAAGGTTGAGGGAAGTGAATATTTTTCTTCTTGGGAGTCCTGCAGAAGTTCCTGAGGACTACCCAGCATGCATTGAGGGTGACCTAATAGGGAACTGTTCCCAGTGGGGAAACGCTCTAAAGTAGAAAAGAGGTACAATAGACAGCAGTGATGAGTTCTTTTGTTGCTGGATACACGACAGGAAACCAGTCTTACAGAGTGTTCCAAAAGCAAGGAACTGGAAAGTATTATTAGCTGGAAAGTTCTGAATGCCACTTAAAAGATTTTGTTATTAATCCACTTCATTTTTAAGCCGAACAAATCTTTTCTTCTTTGGCACACCCATGCATAAAAAAGAACATAACTGGAAAATGAGGCTAGTCCAACTCCATAATCAAGCAACATTGATCAACCGTGAGGGCTCCATTTGCTGAAGTGCTGCTTTTATGTTCATGCTAACAGCCCTTTGTTTTCATTAGTGGAATGGAAATACTTGGTCTTCAGTTCTGCATTACTCCTTAAATAGTTTATAAGGAAATTAATGTACAGTTTGTACAGGCTCATTAAAGAAAAATACAGCTACTCATCTACCCTAGATCTGACTATTTGAAGATTGCTGATTAGTGCATTAAAACATTAAAAAAAAAGTAGTTCTTTTTTTCCCAGCAATCTTTGTTTTCTTTTTTGTTCCCTGAAAATTTCTTTCCATGAGACTTACTAGCCTACCTGCAGTGTAACGAAGGTTTTGAGGATTTTACAAAGCTCAGAACTAGCTAGCTTTTCAGATCTCTTTTTCAAGTAATTCTATGTTCAATAATCTCAGGATTTCATAGTGGAGATATTCTAATGGTACAAACAAGAAATAACCAACCTGCTACTGTTTCTAGAATTGTTTGGCATACTGCCTACTACCAAGATATAATCTATCTGTTTGTCTTCCTTCTTCCATGTGGTATTGTCACCATGAATAATAACATTAGATTAGTTATGGTGATTTACATCACCATTAAAATGGCTCAGGAAGTACAATGCCTCCTCTCCATGCTGAAGGATAAGAGGAGTTAGGAAACACAATTTTCCTCCTATATTCTTCAAATTTCTTGGAGCTTGCCTGCAGAAAGTTTCCCTCTCTTTTCAGTAAGTTTTTTTAGTGCAAAACCTGAGATTATACTGGGATTCTTTTTTTTTTTTAATTTTATTTTATTTTATTTGTGAACATACTGTACAGAGGGGTTACAATTACATGGGCAGGATAATGCGTACATTTGTTACCAAGCATTGCAGCCTCCTCCTTTGTTTACCCTTCACATCCCTTCCCAGCCTCCCCCCCCCCCCCCCCCCCCCCCCCCCCCCCCCCCCCCCCCCCTTCCCCCCCCCCCCCCCCCCCCCAACCCCATCCTTCCCCCCCCCCCTTTCCCCCCCCCCCCCACCGACGTTGTAAAGCTCATTTTGGACATGACAACTTGTACTTCTCATTGTTATACTGGGATTCTTATGTAGATTATGTATATCTAAAGTGTTATGATTCCAAATGTGTAGACAAGTAATTTAAGAGATAATTAAAACCAAATTAAAGCCAGTGCCAATAGAGCACAACTGTAATCCTAGCTAGACTAAATAGTTGAATGTATTTGAATGTTTCCTATCGAATATGAGAAGTCAAAGCCTGGAGGAAGACAAATGGGCTATGGACTGTGGACCTGATGCCAGTCATCTGACCTTGGTATCTTGAAGAGTGCCCTCATGGGATGCAGGTCAGCCAGCGGGGGATCTCCATCGCCCAGCTCAATGGCGGTGATACCCAGGGACCAGGTATCACATCTGGCATCGTAAGTGGTATCTAGTTGCTGTTCGCATGCGATCACCTAGAAGACAACAATTAAAAAAAGAACGGTGCAGTTTGTGACTTTAACAAGTATATAATGAAGTGTTTAGGATAAAACTTAAGTGTTTCAAGTGGAGAAAGTTCGATAGCAACAAGTAAAGATAAAAAGCAGCAATCTAAGGAGAAGAATCGGCAATACAATTACCACAAGAGGTGGTATTTTTATTCTGAGAACAGAGAGTATGTTGGCAGGTTTTCAAATGTAATGGAAGAAGCAGAGAAAAGGAATGTTTTTGAAAAGGTAAAACAAAAAGAGAAAGGAAACAGTATCCTTGCTAGAAAGGATCCCACGCACAGCTAAAGATTGCACAGTGCCTGTCATTCCACAAACTCTACCTGAAGAATGGAGACATTCACCCGGGTGGAGAGAAAGAATGAATTCTCCAAAAACTAAGAGTGAAGTAAGTAAAGCAAGATAAACTTGATAACAGGCTAGCTGAAAGCCTGAATCTTTGTTGGCAATTTGGAGCTCAAGGTACTCATGGGAGGAATGAACCAAGTTAGGAGAAATGCAAAACAGTATAGGCCATCAAGAATAATAATGATAAAATAAACTGAGCAAAAATCAACATTGATGAAGATTTACCCACAGCTTATTGAAGCCAGGTTTAGAGACATGCCACTAAACCGAGGATGAAATTGACAGATGAGACAAAAAAGGAAGATTTGTTTCTGCAATATAATAAGACAGACTTATATGTTAAAAATAACTACACTAAAAATAATGTATTACTGAATATGTAGCTGACTACTGATGGCTTATAAATAATAATTGTTCATATCAATGATTACAAAATGGAAATTCAGCTGGGCACCAGTGGTTTACTCCTGTAATCCTAGCTGTTCTGGAGGGTAAGATCTGAGGATCAAGTTGAAAGCCAGCCCAGGCAAAAAACATCATGAGGGGCTGGGAAGGTGGCTCAGTGGTAGAGCGCTTGCCTTGCATGGCTGAGGCCCTGGGTTCAATTCCTCAGCACCACATAAGCACAAAGAAAAAAGCCGGAAGTGGTGCTGTGGCTCAACTGGTAGAGCGCTAGCCTTGAGCTGAAGAGCTGAGGGACAGCGCCCAGGCCCAGAGTTCAGGCCCCACGACCAGACCCCCCCCCAAAAAAAAAAACATCATGAGACTCTTATCTCCAGTTAAACAGCAAAATAAATAAATAAATAAATAAATTCCAGAAGAAGAAGTATGGCTCAAGTGGTAGAGCTCTAGTTTTGAGCAGAAAAGGGGTCATTGTCTAAGCCACAATACCTGCATAAAACAAAACAAAAAATAACACAAACCAACCCACACCAACAAACTGAAATTTACATTTTGAAAATAATTTTCACATTGATAAAACTGGGAGTCTTTAGCTTCTATTTCCTGAAGTAGGAGCAGGCAATGTTTCTGTTTTTTCCTTTTTCTCCCTACTTTAACTCTGTTACACTATATATGAGAGACCCTGGCTAAAACCATTTTTTGTTTAAAAAAGTAAATTTCACATTTTGTAAATGTCAACTCAGAAGGAAAAAAATGATTGGGGTGATGGCAAATTCGAGTTGTATTATTTAATTATAGTATTGTAAATTGATATGCAAAGTATAACACTGAAGAGCTTGTTTCCAACATTTCTCCTCTTTATGACTCCATTAAACAGCAGAATAAACACACTTAATCTGTATGATGATACACTGGAATTTAATGATAACCTTTGCACATATCCTTCAGAAAGGGGGACTCCTTCATAAGCAAGTCTTTATTCGTACTTGACACTAAATGCAATGACAGGAAGTCATCAAAATATAAACCTATCATTTCATATGCTACAAATCTATAAACCCATCAGTGTGGTATAAAAAGTAAAGAGAAGGCAATGTTTAACACAACACACAGAACAACACATTCATTCTATTGAGAAGACATAATAGGGGATAGAGGCTGGAGACCAAGGCAAGAACTACACTCACTGGCAAGTTCATGAGCAAATATACAAGGAAGACACCAGCCAATCAATTCCAGGATGTGTAGGCCAATAATAAATATTTATGTAAATTATTTGTGTGTGTAGATATATATGCATACATGCACACACATATATATATACAAATATACATACACCATGCAGAGAGAGAGAATATCATTTTTCAGCCTAGTCAATCTGATGAGAGCATCATCATACACAATGATTCTCAATCTTTCCTGCCAAAGTGTCTCTAATATCAAGTAGAGCTAACAGTTAAAAATAACAGAGCATAGCCCAAACCATGCATAAGTCCCAAGTTTTACATTAAAAATTCACATACCAAATACTCACCACAATATATTATTCATAACAACCCAAATGTCTCTGAACTGAATGGCTACACATAACATGATATATATATATTCACTATATAATATAATATATAAAATATACTATATATAAAATAACATACATAAGTATATATAATTTATATCTAGTATACATATACTAGATAAAAATATATGTATATATAATATTCTCCTGTGGTATATATTATATATAAAACATTCCTCTGTATATGTGTATATATGCATATGTATATATGTATACATGTATATGCACATATATACAATATGCATACACATAAATATATGTACATATATACATATACAGGAGAATACTACTCAACTATAAAAAGGAACACTGGTAAATACTATCATATACGTGAACCTTTTAAAGGTAGCCAGAAACAAAGGATACATATCATATGATTCTTTTTTTTTAATTTAATTTTATTTTATTTGTGAACATACTGTACAGAGGGGTTACAATTACATGGGCAGGATAATGCGTACATTTCTTACCAAGCATTGCA